ATTTTATCAAAACATATAGTGATTGCCGGCAATGAAATCACTGAAAATCTATCGTAAATAACAGTTGTTGTGGTTTCGTATGAGAAATATATTTTACATATTGTTATGATTTGATACAAACAGACGGATAAACACAATGTGAAAAATAACTTATGAAACATCTTTGAAAACATGATTAAACACTCGTTATAATTATAATTAATATAGTTTTAATTTTTAAATACAGAATGTGTTTTACATTTTTCTCTCAACCAAAGGGCAAATCCGATAAATATTTTCATATCAATAATAACATTGCATTTTACGATTATATCGCAGATATATTTTCTCTAGAAATAATACTTAAAAACCCAAAATTTTGTGTAGTTCTTCATCCGAGGGATCAATTGATTAGAAATACATTTAAAAATCAATTAATTGAATATCCGGAAAGTGATGTCAACAATAGGGCAATAGTTTACTATTATATTTACAATAAAATGATAATTAATTCATTGCCCAAACCATACGAAACCGATTGCTTTGATTACAACACTATTGGCTATAAATCCCTCAAACAATGTATAGATATGTGTAAAATTGAAATGAGTTTAAAACAATGGCAAAACCAATGGCCCGGAAATTACTTGATATACAATAAGACTTATGAAATGAAAATCTCTAATATGTGGACAATTTATACGGAAAATGTTAGTCTCGACGCAATTTTCAGCAATAAATGTCACAAATATTGCGGCGATAAAGTCGAGTGTAAACAACAAATATTTAAACTTAAAACACAAAGATTTTATTACGATCTTGGTAAATTTTATCTTATGTTATTCCCGCCGACAACACCCGACTTAATTCATAGCCATTCGCCGAAAATACTGTTTGAAGAGTTTGTCTCATATATTGCTTCGTATATCAGTCTATGGTTTGGTTTCTCTATTATAATGCTATCAAATGTTTTGTATAAATGTTTGATTTATTTTTATTCAAAAATTAATTTATTTATTATTAATTGTGAGCACATTGTGGCAACTAAACAACAAATTAATATTGTCACAAACAATATCATACTTCAACCTAGACAAAACAGAGTTTCGCCTAAACTTGTAATCACAGATTATTAATAATATTGTAACGGGTCTATCCCGTTCCCGACCCCGTTCACTCGTGAGAACTAGAGAAACCAACTCAAAAGGTTTCTAATGAGCAGATTATAATTCAATTACATTCAATTAATGTAAATCTGCCGGCAATGATTCATCATGATATTCACAGAGTTGTCAACACAAATAACTTTATGTTATTCGTAATTGCTTAATCTAAAATTATTAATAATAATTAAACTAATTAATATTTAGCATAGTTTTATAAACAAGCAAGTTATTAACAAACAAATTACATAGTCTTAAATATGTAATTGTTAGATTAAGCATGCTCCATTTGGTTGTATTCATGTGAAGTTTTGCTAAATCTATAACAAATAAATTTATTTAATAACAATTTGTTGACATAAAAGAGATGACTAGTAAACAAAACAAAATTAATTTATAAATATATTAAATTATTTTCTAATATAAATATTATCTTTATTTTATTTGTTATTTTAATGTTATTTTTATTTAATACTAAAGTTTATATAACTTTATATAAGTTTAGGAAATATTTTTACGTTTTGCTAAATTAATATAAAATTGTTTGAATTTTTAAAATTAATTTGTGTTTATATTGACTATAGTTAATTTAAATTGTTTTAATAATTAATATCATATAATAATCATGTTCTCAAATTTATTTTATAAATTATTTTTTGTATTTTGTTTATCCGTCTGTTTGTATCAAATTATAACAATAAGTCAAATATATTTCTCATACAAAACCACAACAAGTGTTATTTACGATCGGTTTTCAGTCATTTCATTGCCGGCAATCACTATATGTTTCGATA